CTAGTCACGTTTGTCTATGCAAGTCCTTTAGAAAAGGGTAGGCGCGCGTTATGGTCTGACCTGGGTCTTCTGGCTACTACCATCCATGGCCCTTGGTTAGTGGGAGGCGACTTTAACAGCATGTTACGGCACTCAGACAAATCGGGTGGGTCAACTAGACGCAATCCGGTGGATTTGTACTTCTCCGACTGGGTGTTTGGCTGCAGACTGCAAGAGCTCCGAACAGATGGTTTGCCTTTCACATGGGTTCGGGGCTCAGTACAAGAGAAGTTGGACCGTTTTTCTTGCTAATACCAAATGGGTCAACCGCTCTCCCTGAAAATCGTTAGGTGTCCACTAGGCGCTCGACCACCGCATAGAGCACTTAGGCGGGACCTAAAATCATTTTTTTTTTTTCAAACGACATAAACATACTCATAAAAAAGCCAAACAGGCAATGTACACAGGCGAGCTCGAAGCTGGGAAATGGAAGGTTACATCCACAACTAATGTAATCTAGACGGAATACCTACTAGCAAAGCTAGAATGACCAGCACACTACGACACCAACAATATAACAAAAATAAAAAGACCCCAACAGAGTAATACCCGAGTGTACGCTCCCAATAGGATAATAAATGCTACACTCGAGTCAAATCGGGGCTAACGGCCCAAACCTAAAACACATAGACCACACCAACACAAACACAACGATCACAACAACAAAAAAATAAAAACATAAACAACAATAAACGAAAACGGAGCCCTTCCCCTGTGAACCCAACTACACTTAACCAGCAGTGAACGACCAAAACACAGAAAGTCTAACACCCGAGAACCGCTATCGAAACTGCTCGAACGCTTATACAGTAGGTGAACTCAACCGAGAGAGTCCCCACCATCCCCCACTCCAGCCCCACCGAACTCGCCTAACACCACTAGCCAAGCTCGATAGGACCCAATCCCGCGCCGCCTAACACCACTAGTCGACCAAGGAAAAAGCGAGAGTGGGTCGGGCCCTCAACCCCAACTGTCGTTCCGACACAGCAATCAGTATCCCTCCCCACTCAACGGCTCCCGCACCACCCAGCAACATTACAAATTGCCGAAGGCCAACGACAAATCCCACCCGAACAAGTGAAAATCCCGCCTGCAAAGCACAGCCCAGCAGCCGCAAAAGATGACCAAATGAAGTACAGCCACCACGTACTAGAGCATCGCCGGCAATCGGAGAAAACGCCTTCAATCATCAGCCGAACGTCGGTCAAACCAGTAGCCACCACCCACCGCGACCCCATCGGCGACCATCGGTCGGGCCACCGCACCCCACGCAATCCACAGCCACATTGAAGATACGCTTCACCAAGAGTGGGCCAGGCGGTCAAGGACGACCCCTGTCCGAGCTAAGCCGTCGTAGAGGAAGGCAAAAGGATCGGGATTAGGGGGGAGGGTTTCGCCGATTTGGGTATCGCTAGAGAGAGAGAGAAGACTATTACAAGTTCCTTTTCCTAAAAATCAAGATTAAATACCTTTTCTTTTAACAACCTACAAAATGAAAATATCTCGACTTACAACAAATCAACAAACCTAAGTTCAAATAATAATATTAATATATTATAAAGTAAACATGATAACAAAATTATGAAATTAGTATTTGAAAAAAAAAACTGAAAAAGTGTCACTGAGCTCGCTTAGGAGCGCCTAAGTCCGCCTAGGCCCGTCTAGGCGCCGCCCAGCCGCCTGACCGCGGGAGCCCGCCTAGGAGCTCCTAGACCTACACAATTTTTTTTCAGCCGATTCATGCAAATTAGAGGCGGTCCGGTGGCGCCTAGACCGATTTTTAGTAGAGTGGTTCTAACAAAATAAAATAATGTAAATACTATTATTAAAAAGTGACAGCTTTATTCAAACAATATAAAAATTTATGCCACCTTTTGAAATTCGAGCCATCAAACCTATCCAACTTCACAAGGTCTTGGTTCATGATTTTGATCGTTTCCGTCTCAATGCAAATAGAGTTTTTGATTGTTGGAAATAATAGCTAACAATGGAGAAAGAGACACTCAACAAAACTTAAATTTTCTTTATTAAATATTTATCTCAAGAACACTCATACAACACAAAGGCTCTTGAAACTTTGTAAAAAAACTCTATTTCCTCCCTCTCTTGAAACTCTTTAGGGAACACACAAAATAGAAATGAGTTTTGGGATTGACCAAGGCTTCTACTTTTCTTCATAAGATTTCATAAAGAAGAGAAGTATATATAAGTGTCATTTGCCATGTGTGGTTACAAGTGTAAGAACATATTTTCACAACTCATCTTGTTAATGAGATACATTAATTTCATCAAGTTGCAACTTGTTTAATTAATTCAAGATTAATTAAACCCACAAGTTTCAAGTTTGTGAAAGTGAAACTTATCCACATGCATTGTCTTGAAACTTATCCTACATTGTTGAAACTTATCCAACATTCAAGCATGTGTAACATCTTACACTTATGAATGTAACATGCAAGTTTCAATCTTGTGAATTCATCTTACATCCATGCATATAACTCATCTTACATTTATTTTATATTTACCAATATATAACAATCTCCCACTTGGTTAAGATAAAATTATAACCACCATAGTGAAAATACATAAAGTAAAGTATCTTTCAATTTGAACTTTACCTTAGCATAATTATCACAAAGCATCATCGGAATCCCAGGTTGCTTGTAGCATTGAACAAGTTATTCCTTGTGAAGAAACCGGTGATAACACACACATTTCACTATACGATGAACACCTATGAATTTTCTTGCTTAGCACTTTTATGGCCATGTGCTCAATCCATTCATGAACTTTCTTGAGAGAAAACTCCAACTCTCATGAGAAGCGGCACCACTTCTAAGTTCACATAGGTGAAATTCTTTCAGCATTCTCGTTATATAAAATATTTGTCACACATAGACTGAATTTCATTAAAAACTTTAACCCTCCTACCGTAACGACCAACATTTTATATTTAATCTCAGATGGAACTCACAAATGTTAATGTTGCTATAATTCACTTACCAACGCCTTATTTTTACCCATTGATTAGTGTTAAAACTAATCACTTATCAACATGTACTAATTACTCGATTTAATACAACTAATAATAATAAATGCATCAAATTAGGCAACTGGCTATTTATGGAAATAATGTCGAGCTCAATAAATAGTAAATAATATTCTGGGCGTTACAGATATTGAAACTCTTTTATACATCATTTTTCTATTTTATTTTATACGTGTAACTATCCATCAAAATAGGATTTAAATTACTCGACGATTTTTTTAAATGTGTTCCAATTTATGCATGTATCTCTTCGTCGAACGGTTTTGCAAAACATGATACTAGCCGATTTTTCGTACCATAAAAAGGTAACTAATTCCACCATTCATGGGCAACATTATATGCTGCCCGATTTTATAAGAAAAAAACTACTATGAATAATATGTAATTAATGCTGATCAGATTTTGACTAAGATTTGACTTACCATTGTTGAAAAAAGGTTATTCTTATTGCACATATATAGATTTTACTACTTATAAGCATATGAGTGAGCAGATTGTTTTGAGATTTATCTTCGTAGGTTCTCTTTTGTAGTGCAAAGTTATCAGTAAAAAGGTTCAAAAAGGTTCTGTTGGTACACTAGTAGTTAAAACTTTTGTTTCTTGTTGAATGCACAAAGCAGTGACATATGAATGTAACACTTGCTTTTGGACGAGGACATGTGCCCACCCATTTGATATCAGCAGTGTAATTTATATTTTTTTATTAGTTGGAGTTATGAAAAGTAACAACTTATCTATTATATTGGTTTGTTTCTGGCTTTTAAATCAGCTCATATTTTGCACTCTTTTTATGACTTGTGGAAATTGGATATTGCCTTTTAATTGGCTTCATTATAGAGATATTCTATGGTCCATTACGGAACCATTCCGCCGAGGTTTATAACCGTTATATCAACTATTCACGACGGTTACATGATAATTTAACGGTTACAAATCCTGACGGAATGATTCAGTAATGGTACTGTAGCATTTCCCAATGTCATTAGTGTTCTGCCATACAAAACATTATCCATGAATAGGATAAATAACAATTCTGTATAATTACACACTGTTTTATTTTTTAGAAACAGTTAATTAATTCTCTCCAAAGTCCTGTTTTTTAGGCTGAGGAGGCAAGTATTTGACACCAACGGTCTCTCCTACTTTGTTGATTACCTCCAAAGCTTTATTGAGGTCTTCCCTCGTATGAGAAGCTGAAATACATATGCGAGCACGGGCCAACAACAAAGGAGTCGCCGGGAAAGCAACCGTCACAACTGCCACCTATAACATCACAAGGCGGGACACGAAAGAATACTTAAAATCTTGAAAAGAGAAAAAACAATAGGTACAGAGTTATAAGAGAGAAGACATAGAAAAGGCGTACATTTCTTTTGAGGCACTCGCGCGAAAAAGCAGGAATTTTTCCTGGATTATAGAGCATTACGGGAATTATGGGGGAGTCTTTATCGCCCAGAACCTCAAAACCCATTTTCCGCAGCTCAGAACGGAAAAAATTACTGTTTTCACGAAGCCTATCCAGTTTCTGAGGCCCTGCAATTCAAAAAAAA